TAAACCCTAAACCCTAAGCCCTGAGATGAAGGACTCAGGGCACTTGGATGTCATGGGACTGCGCATGCGAGTGGGCATGACAGTGTATGAGCTGATCTCACCCCTTGCGGCTAGAGCTAGAGAGAAGTTCTGGGAAATTCGTCATATATTGCAGGCGAAGGGAAGTGTCAAGGCCAGGGTTCGAGTGATGAACCATATCATCGGGGCCACGGCCCTCTGGTGCATCAGTGCCATCCCACCTGATCGTGCAGCACAGTCCATGCTGAACACAGTTCAGCTCCAGCTTCTGGTCTGGATGATGCGACTAAGCAAAAGAGAGACAGAAGGATGGGAGAGCTCTCGCAAACGAGGGCAACCAGATACTGGCAGGACATAGAGTCCGGGGGCTGTTGCATGAATATCCGGTGCTGAGTTGTTACTTTGAGGATTTCCGTACGCTGTCATGGTGGAGGATTGAACAAACCAGGGCCCAGGGGATCAAACATAAGCAACACTACGCCCGTATTACACAGATGGAGGCCATGATGAATGGGGTGTGTGGCTGAGGTTTGGGTTTTAGGGTTTAGGGTTTAGGGCATTTTTTGAACCTGTTCCTTCTAAGAACTCTCATGAAATCAAACTGTTTACTAACTTTCCTGCATACTTACTTCAAAGCCCAGGATAGTAGTAGTGTAGTAATAGTATTAGTCTAGTGTTTCCGTACAGTCTGAATAGATACTACTGTTGATGATATAATGCCTGCACTACCTTAACGACCCTGAACTATAGGAATTATGGCATATTCCTAATCATGTGTCATGCAGGATGCATATCATAATCCTGAGGATCTTCTGCTTCAGGCCTAGTGGCAATGAGGTCTTGGGGCTTCACGTTTAGGATTCAGGGTTTTGGGGTTTAGGGTTTAGGGTTAAGTCAGGGCTGCTTCTGAGAGTTGAGGGTATAGGGTTTTGGGGGTTAGGGTTTAGGGTTTAGGGCTTAGGGTTTAGGGTTTAGGTGGGTGTAAGGCTTAGGGTTTAGGGTTTAGGGTTTAGGAGGGTACATGGAAGCCCGGCTTACCTGTGTAACAGGCGATGAAATGTCGGATGATAGAATGTGTTTGATACTATCCGAGAAATAGCCCTAAACCCTAACACCCCTAAACCCCTAAACCCCAATAGTACATATTAATATTTGTAACCCCAAATACCCGAGGATGACATCTAGGTCGTTATGGAGTAATTAGGGCTTACACAGTAGCCCACTGTCGTGCCCTACTTCTCCGCAGGAGCTGAACCCTAAACCCTGACCGTAATGTCGGGGCTTAAATAGTTACCAATACTACTTTGGGGGGTTCCTTAATATAGCCATAGTTCAATAGACCCCGAACCCTATTCTAATTCTTAAGGCCCCTACATTAACCGTTCGTCTGGATGGCCAATTCAGGTCAGGAGCATTCTGCCACAAGCCACCGATGTGGAGGCATTTCTGAAAGTTTAAGGGTTCAGGTTTCGAGGGTGTAGAGTCTCGGGGTTCATGGGTTTTGGATTTGGGGATGTCCTGTATTTCAAAGTCTAATATAGGGGCCTTACTAATTAGAATAGGGTTTGGGGGGCCCACTTAATTATTTACGCCCTTGCAGTATAGGACTCCATTTGCTGATGCCTGGCGGCATTCTCAGCCGTGCGGTGTCGCCCTGCTCTGCATGAAGTTCTGGTGGTGGGATCCTTCAGAAGGACTCACTGGCTCGACACTGGGCCGTACCGGAAAAGAGTCATACAATCCTGCTACTTCGTCGTAGTGCTCCATGCTCACACAGTAGCAGACGTAGGCGTTTTCAGCTGCAAACCTTCAACTAGCCTCAAAGTCTTTACAAGCCTTCGTTACAGTCCTACATGGAAAGCCTGCAGAACCCTTCGAAGTCCTGCACCAGCCTTCGAAAGCATTCTAACATATACACTATACACCTCTATGACATTGCTTGGGGAACTGTACCTACATAAACCTTAAGCCCTTGAACCTTAAACCTTGCAAACATTTCAGGAAACCTAAACCCTAAACCCTAAACACCTAAACCTCTAAACCCTTGACCCTAAACCTTAAACCCTAAACCCGGAACCCTAACCCTCTAAACCCTAAACCCTAAGCCCTAAACCCTAAACTCTAAACCCTAAGCCCTAAACCCTAAACCCCTATACCCTAAACCTCTAAACCCTCAGCCCTAAACCCTACGCCCTAAACCCTAAACTCTAAACCCTAAACCCTAAGCCCTAAACCCCTAAACCCTAAACCCTAAACCCCTGAAAGTCCAAGCCATGGAGGAGCTCGTCTCCGAGAAAGGAGTTTCAGAGA